TCACTGTCCCCCCCAGGCAGCGCGCGGGCACCGTGACAGGCGTGGCCGTGAACGTGGTGGGTGGGGTGGCACAGGGGGGTCTCAGGGGGGTCTCAGGGGTCACTGTGCCCCCCAGGCAGCGCGCGGGCACCGTGACGGGCGTGGCCGTGAACGTGGTGGGTGGGGGGCACAGGGGGGGTCACGGGGGGGTCTCAGGGGTCACTGTGCCCCCCAGGCAGCGCGCGGGCACCGTGACGGGCGTGGCCGTGAACGTGGTGGGTGGGGGGCACAGGGGGGCACAGGGGGGGTCTCAGGGGGGTCTCAGGGGTCACTGTCCCCCCCAGGCAGCGCGCGGGCACCGTGACGGGCGTGGCCGTGAACGTGGCGGCCGCTCTGGCCGCGCTGCTCCAGCCCTTCGTGCCCGGGGTCAGCGCCGCCATCCAGGAGCAGCTCCGGGTGCCCCCCCAGCGCCGCGGCCTCGGCCCCGCCCTCACCTGCACCCTCCCCCCCGGGCACCGCGTGGGCACCGTGAGTGGGGGGGCGGGGGGGGGACCCCCGGGGGTGGGACCCCCGTGGAATGGGGGACAGGGTGGGGCCCCCAGGGGAGGGAGGGACAGGGTGGGACCCCCGGGGGAGGGGGGGACGGGGTGGGACCTCCCAGGGGGGTGGGGGGCAGGATGGGACCCCAAGGGGATGGGGGACAGGGTGGGACCCCCAAGGGCTGGCTGAGACCCCCATGGGATGGGGGACAGGGTGGGACCCCAAGGGAAGGGGGGCTGGCTGGGACCCCCAGGGGATAGGGACAGAGTGGGACCCCCGGGGGTGGGGGACAGGGTGGGACCCCCAGAGGAGGGTAGGACAGGGTGGGACATAAGGGGATGGGGGGCTGGCTGAGACCCCCAGGGGGTGGGGGACAGGGTGGGACCCCATGGGATGGGGGACAGGGTGGGACCCCCATGGGATGGGGGACAGGGTGGGACCCCCAAGGGCTGGCTGAGACCCCCATGGGGTGGGGGACAGGGTGGGACCCCCAAGGGCTGGCTGAGACCCCCGGGGGATAGGGACAGAGTGGGACCCCTGGGGGGTGGGGGACAGGGTGGGACCCCCAGGGGAGGGGGGGACAGGGTGGGACCCCAAGGGAAGGGGTCAGGATGGGACCCCCAGGGGAGGGGGGACAGGGTGGGACCCCTGGGGGGTGAGGGACAGGGTGGGACCCCCAAGGGCTGGCTGAGACCCCCATGGGACGGGGGACAGGGTGGGACCCCAAGGGGAGGGGGGACAGGGTGGGACATAAGGGGAAGGGGGGCTGGCTGGGACCCCCAGAGGGTGGGGGACAGGGTGGGACCCCAGGGGGGTGAGGGACAGGGTGGGACCCCCAGAGGAGGGGGGGCTGGCTGAGACCCCCGGGGGATAGGGACAGAGTGGGACCCCCAGAGGAGGGGAGGACAGGGTGGGACATAAGGGGATGGGGGGCTGGCTGAGACCCCAATGGGATGGAGGACAGGGTGGGACCCCAAGGGAAGGGGGGCTGGCTGGGACCCCCAGGGGGGTGAGGGACAGGGTGGGACCCCAAGGGCTGGCTGAGACCCCCATGGGATGGGGGACAGGGTGGGACCCCCATGGGATGGGGGACAGAGTGGGACCCCCGGGGGTGGGGGACAGGGTGGGACCCCCAGGGGAGGGGGGGACAGGGTGGGACCCCCAGGGGAGGGGGGGCTGGCTGGGACCCCCAGGGGAGGGGGGACAGGGTGGGACCCCAAAAGAAGGGGGGCTGGCTGGGACCCCCAGGGGAGGGGGGACAGGGTGGGACCCCCAGGGAAGGGGGGCTGGCTGGGACCCCCAGGGGAGGGGGGACAGGGTGGGACCCC